TCCCTCAGCTCTTCAGCTCAAGGCTAGCACTCTACCACTTGAGCCACAGTGCCACTACCGGCTTTTTTCTTTTTGCTTATGTGGTGCTGAGGAATCAAACCCAGGGCCGCAGACATGCAAGGCAAGCGCTCTACCACTGAGCCACCTTCCCAGCCCCTTCCTTCTTTCTTTTTTCTACATCTGCCTCAGAGCAGCTACACTTGAATGGAATCAGGAGTGTGCCAGCAGGCTTCTCATTTACCACGGAGCAGTAGGGTAGCTACGCACACATTTGAGTGCTTCAAATGTGCCCCACGTGCCTGAGGGACTGAGCTTGTACTTGGTTTGATTCGTTTACACTGACACAGCTATATGTAGTTGGTGACCAGCAAGTGAACAGCACAGAGATTCCCGGCTAGCCAGGTTAGGCTGTTTGAGTCACTCCATCCCCTTCAGTGGGCCAAGCTGAATTGCTTGCCACAAACAAGAAGAGACAGTTATACCCAGGGTCCTCTGGCTACCCTCATTCCCCACCCAATATCAGCATCCGTGAACTCCATGCCATCAGTGTGAGAAGGGAGCAGACGACTGTGTGGGCCGTCGCCACCTCTGTGCTCAGCTGGCTCACAGTATTGCCTATTTTATACTTCTCCAGTGATTTAGGCACATTTCTCCCGATTTGCAGGCTTATTATTCTTGGGACCAGGACAGGATTTGTTTCCTATGCACCTCACTGGGTCAGAGGCCTCTATTTTTTCCTTTTGGAAAAGTGATGGAGAGTATGGGTGTTAGAGTCAAGTTCTCACATTAGAATTTGGCTTTCTCTGTTTCTGATGGTACAACCCTGGACAAGTCAATTAACCTCTCTGTTCCCTGTTTCTGCACTTGTAAAGATGAGACTTATAATAGTACCTATGTTATCATAGGCGAGTTGGGCACAGTAAATCCAAGCAGAATTGCTTTATCATCCTCTCATTATAATGATGTGATGGCCATGAACATGATGAAGGAAAGAATTTGAAGGTGTAACTCTTACACGTGTCCACAAGGGGGCAGCATAAGACCAGGCCCATGGAACACTGCTCCGTTCTCAGGTTTGCCTTAGGTATGGGTAGTAGGTCTTTTAACATCAAAACTGTGTCACAGAGTGGGGCTTGGGGCCGCCTTGGGTGGGTAGGTTGGTGTGGATGCTAAACGGAAGAAAACCTCAGGCATTCTCGACTTTAAAGCTTCTTGCACCCAACAAATTCATACTAATGTAACTCATGAAGTAGACACTAGAACCTGAAAGCGTGAGGCAGATTGTCGCCCTGCTCCCTGTCACTAACTTCTTGCCTGCCTTTGGAGCCCTGTGTGTGCACCTCAGAGCCAGTGGGGGAAGGGACTGGGGCTGAACCTGAGGAGACCTAGACGTAAGTCAGCCATAAGTAGCCATCCGTTGCTCTCAGGCTCACCAGGGGAGACCGAATTCCAGAGATCTTAGTGGGAAAGGAAGATGAAATAAGGCTTCCAGAAATTGTTGACTGCAGGGTATCATGGATCTGAGGGACTGTGGGGTCTTGGAGGCAGGTGGAGTTTAAACAAATGTGGCAAGTGTGGTGAGGAAGGGGGGTATGAGAATGGGAGGGGTAGGACATAGTCTCAGCCAGAAGGTATGAAGGAGAAAAGGCAGAGCTGAGGTGAGTCACTTTGTCCTGGATTGAGAAGTTTGACGTTTTTTTGTCCGTTGTGGGGTTTGAACTCTGGGCCTGGGCGCTGTCCCTCAGCTCCTCAGCTCAAGGCTAGCGCTCTACCACTTGAGCCACAGCGCCACTTCTGGTTTGCTTGTGGTTTATTGGAGATAAGAGTCTCAGGGACTTTCCTGCCTGGGCTGGCTTTGAACGGTGATCCTCAGATCTCAGCCTCTTGAGTAGCTAGGATGACAGGTGTGAGCCTTCAGTGCCCAGCCAAGTTTGACCTTTTTTTTTTTTGGTCCGGTCGTGGGGCCTGGACTCTGAGCCTGGGCGCTGTCCCTCAGCTCTTCAGCTCAAGGCTAGCGCTCTACCACTTGAGCCACAGCGCCACTTCCGGCTTTTTTCTTATGTGGTGCTGAGTAATTGAACCCAGGGCCTCATGCATGCAAGGCAAGCACTCTACCACTGAGCCACCTTCCCAGCCCAAGTTTGACCTTTTTAAAATTTATTTTTTCCTGGTCCTGGGGCTTGAACTCTGGACCTGGGTGCTGTCCCTGAACTTCTTTTGCTCAAGGCTAACGCTCTACCACTTGAGCCACAGCACCATTTCCAGCTTTGTCTGAGTGGTTTATTGGAGATAAGAGTCTCATGGACTTTCCTGCCTGGGCTAGCTTCGAACTGCAAACCTCAGATCTCAGCCTCCTGAGTAGCTAGTATTATAGGCGTGAGCTGCTGGTGCCCGGCTTGGCCTTTAAATTCATAATCACATTCATGTTTTGGGGAACCTTATACTAATTAAGGGCTTGCAGAAAACAAACATGGAGAATAGGACTTGCAGACCCTGAGAGGGTTTTGTAGTACTTCTGTCTCAAGCTTTCATATCCCAAACACATAATACAACCTGGAAAACCAAATGCACATGGGGAACTTTGACCGTGGGGAAGGATTACTGCTACTTACACTGCAGGCCTGGCTTCCGGGGCCTCTTTCCTAGACATCAAAAGGCAAGGGCTTCCCTGAAAGGAGTGCAAGTTGCTATGGCAGCGAGTCATTCTGGAAATTAGTGATGCTCCCAGAGAGGAACGCCTAGGCCCCAGGAATGTGAGTGTGCTTGCATTAGCACTAAAGCGTACTTCTCCATAATGGGGTGCTTAAAAGCCAATTGTAACAGAGGGTAGTAAATTATTTCTAATCTTAAAAAAAACCATGAAGAGCCATTTAATCTATAATTTACAAAGCCTGTTGGGGTCCTATAGGGGGTGAGTAGAGATACTGAGCACCAGGGATACCTGGATTGTGTGTGTGTATGTGTGTACACGTGTGTGTGTGTGAGAGAGAGAGAGAGAGAGCTGTCCATATTATTTCTAGGCATCTGAATGACAAATACATGGGAATATATTATATTCATTCCTCCTTTGTGATTCTGAGATTGACATCAGAGCAAACTTGGCACAGCCCAAATCCGACTTGAGCATTCCGTTTCACAGTGCTCTCCTCAAGTGCTCGCTGTGTTACTCAGCATGGGACTGTTAAAAAACTATTCACCATCTGTAATAATTGGTATCCAAAATGTTGTCCATTTTGGGGCTTTTCCTCTTCCCTAGGTGCTGCTCCCTAAGATCTGGGAGCTAGGCTGGAAGAGGCCCGGCGAGCTTCTCTGCACACTGCCAGGCCTCTTGGTCAATCACTGTACTTTCTGATCCCTTGAAGGTCAGGCATGGGGACAGAGGATTAGGGAATGGGCTTGGTTCTCCTGGGCTGGTGTGGTTGCTATTACAGGAACACTCAGAAAGCTGCAGCTACTGTCCCTTGGCTGTTGGGACCTGCGCAAGTGTGGTGGGGATGAGCCGATGGTGATGGATGATATGTATATATATATATAGCCAGACGCACGCTGTGTGCCTAGCTGGCTTTAGCACTCAGCTGACAGGGAGTATGTCAAAAGTTAAAACCAGAGAGCTGGGCAACCGTAGCTTATGCCTGTAATCCTAGCTACTCAGGAGACTGAGATCTGAGGATTGAGATTGATATCTAGCCTGGGCAGGAAAGTCCGTGAAACTCTTATCTCTAGTAAACCACCAGAAAACCAGAAGTGCTGTGGCTCAAGTGGTAGAGCACTAGCCTTGAGCTGAAGAGCTGAGGGACAGTCCCCAGGCCCAGAGTTCAGGCCCCACAACTGACCAAAAAAGAAAAAGTTAAAATAATATTTGGGGATGGACACTGGTGGCTCACGCCTTTAATCCTAGCTACTCAGGAGGCTGAGAGCTGAGGATTATGATTCAAAGCCAGCCTGGGCAGGAAAGTCCATGAGACTCTTATCTCCAATAAGCCACCACACTACTGGAAGTGGTGCTGTGGCTCAAGTGGTAGAGAGCTAGCCTTGAGCTGAACTGCTAAGGTACAGCGTCCAGGCCCAGAGTTCAAGCCCCATGACTGACAAAATCCAAATTAAAAAAAAATCATATTTTGTTTTCTTTCTTGCAGCTATGGATGGATTTTTAAAATCCGATGAGAGACAAAGATTAGCTAAAGAGAGACGAGAAGAAAGAGAAAAATGTCTGGGTAAGTTCTCTACTTTGGTTCACTAGATTCAAAGAAGTGGAGATCTGGTCATGTTCTTTTTTCAAAAGGCCTTAAACATCTGTCAGTAAATGGGACGAGAAGCGGGACTGCCCTCCATCCACATGAAGCGTGACTGGCGTGTTCAAATGACTGCCTCACCCTCCGAACACTTCTCTCAGCACACAGTGGACCTCTGCTGGGTCCTATGCCCGGGGCTCGCTGTAGACGTGGTGGTAAAGAAAAACAGTCTATTCATTTATCTGAATCAGGGAAGGGAAGGGGAACAACAGAAGGCTGAGACAAACGACAAAGGGGGAACCAATGCCACAGCGATACTCACAAGACACTGTTGGAAATGATCTGTACAACCTGGGTGGGGCGATGTGAGGGAGGGAAAGAGGGAGAAAAAATGAGGGAGGGTAAAAGCTCCACACACAATGTAGTCACTTCTGTAATTAACCCCAGTGTGATCACCTTGACAAGAAAAGCTACAAATTCAAACAAAGAAAAGAAAACCAGTCATCATGCCTGACTTGGGAAAGTCCTAATGTCCTCAAGGGTAGATGGCCAGCTTCTCTTTGGGGCATCTAGAAGGGCCATCATGAGAAGAATTGAAGCCGGGCACTGGTGGCTCATGCCTGTAATCTTAGCTACTAAGGAGGCTGAGATCTGAGGATCATGGTTCAAAGCCAGCCCGCCCACCTGTGAGACTCCTATCTCCAATAAACCACCAGAAAACCTGAAATGGTGCTGTAGCTTAAGTGGTAGAACACTGGCCTTGAGCTGAAGAGCTCAGGGACAGCACCCAGGCCCAGAGTTCAAGTCCCACGACTGACCAAAAAAAAAATAGAGAAAAATCATCACGGAAGTCATTTTCTGCATTAGAACAGGGTGGTAGGCAGTAGAGACCACCCCAGGACAGGGTACTTGAGATAGGTTGATGGTGATTTTCTTGAGGAATTGAGACACCTAAGGATCTTTCAAGTTCTTCCTCCTTAGCCTAGTCTAGTTTGACAGAGTTAAGAGCTTCTTAGTAAGTATTGGCGTGGTAAGAATACCAGTCTTCTTTGTGTATTTTAAAAAATCGTATTTTATTGTAAAGATGCTGTACAGAGGGGTTCCAGTTACATGAGTAAGGTAATGAGTACATTTCCTATCGAGCATTGTTACCTCCTCCTTTGTTTTTTCCCTACCATCCCTTCCCTCCCCACCTCCCCCCAGCAATGTGTGTATTTTGACCTTTTGTTCAGCTCACTGCTTAGTGCCCGCACAGTTAACCTTATCTTTTGAATAAATGTATTCTTTTTTTTGGGGGGGGGGTCTGGTCATGGGGCCTGAACTCTGGGCCTGGGCGCTGTCCCTCAGCAATTCAGCTCAAGGCTAGCGCTCTACCACTTGAGCCACAGCGCCACTTCTGGCTTTTTTCTTTTTGCTTATGTGGTGCTGAGAAATCGAACCCAGGGCCTCAGGCATGCAAGGCAAGCGCTCTACCACTGAGCCACCTTCCCAGCCCTGAATAAATGTATTCTTGTAGCTATCATTTCTCAAGGTAGTATGTGACTTTGCTAGTGTGTGCAAGTTTGACTCAATGATAGCAACAGGAGTCATAGCTCCCATGGTGGGGGGCACCTATTGTATACTTACTCCTTTACTCTCTGTCATATTGTGATGTAGCAAACATTACTGTTCCCCTTCCACTAAGAAAGCGAGGCAGACAAATGACATAGTTAACATGCCCAAGCCATCCAGCTAGTGGCAGAGGTGCCTTGCTCTCAATCACTGCATGCCTTCATTCCAGCAGACTCTTCACTCCTGTGTCCTTGGTCTCAGTTAACCCACCTGGATTGCTCTCAGCCTCACACCTCTCTTCTGCTTTCCCATTCCAGCTGCCCGGGAGCAGCAGATCCTAGAGAAAGAGAAAAGAGCCAAGATCCAATATGAAAAGCAAATTGAGGAGCGATGGCGAAAAATGGAGGAACAAAGGCAGCGTGAGGACCAGAAGAGAGCTGCTGTGGAAGAGAAGAGGAAGCAGAAGCTCCGGGAGGAGGAGGTGAGGTCCCGTGAGCCTACCGCCCCAGACACATTAGCAGCTCAGCTAGCGCATAGTGCTCAGAGCGTGCAGGCTTGCTGCCCAGCTCTGGACAATGGGAGAGACTTGCTCTTGGAACCTTGTCCTGCTGTCTCATATCACCTTCTTCCAGCACCGTGACACAGTGATCCAGTAGCAACTGTACTTCTAGGAGCAAACAGACCTAGCCCATTTGACTTAGGAACTACTTTGCTGTGTGAACTTGGCTAAGTTTGAGTCTTGATTGTTTTGCTTGTGTGCAGTGGAGGGGTAGATTTGGTGGTGTTCGAGACTGTTTCCAGGCATAATAACCTTTTCTGACTCTAAGATGCAGGGATTATGACAGGGCTGGGGATGGAGAGCAGAGGATTTCAGTGGGGAGCTCCTGCTTCCACAGCACCCATGAGGCCTGAGCCTGAGCTGTGAGAGTCAAGAGTAACTCCTATTTACCACTGGACAATTAGCTTACCTACAAACACAAAGATGGTTGTGCATGTCAATTTTATTGTAGTCCATTGCTTTAATTATCCTTTCTTTTCAGTTACCTTTTTTAAAAAAATAGAAGGAAAGCAGTTATTTCCTACAGAAGCCTTCATTGCTACCCTCTGAGAGTATATTTAGGAAGTATATTTGGGGGCTAGAGCTGTGGATCAAGAGTTAGATGGCTTGCCTGTAATGACAAGGCCCTGAGTAGAAGCCCTAATACTACCTTCAACCAAAAAAACATATTTGGATTATAGATTTTCTTTTTTTCTATGCTAGTACTGGGGCTTGAACTTGGGTTCTGGATGTTGTCCCCTAGGTATTTTGCTAAAGGCTGGCATTCTACTACTTGAGCCACAGCTCTACTTCTGACTTTTTATTTTGGGTCCAGTCATGGGGCCTGAACTCTGGGCCTGGGCGCTGTCCCTCAGCTCTTTAGCTCAAGGCTAGCACTCTACCACTTGAGCCACAACGCCACTTCCGGCTTTTTCTGCTTATGTGATGCTGAGGAATCAAACCTAGGGCTTCATGCATGCAAGGCAAGTACTCTACCACTGAGCTACCTTCCCAGCCCTTAACAAGTATATTTTGAGGATACAGTCATAGCCTTGAATCAGGTAATAATCATGACTCAAGTTTTAATGTTAACAATATAGCAGTTTAGAAATCTCCACAATGGGATACAAAGATTTTTGTATAAATTTATCTTTTTCCTTTTTTTATTGTGAAAATACTGTACAGAGGGGTTACAAGATAATGAGTACATGTCTTATCAAGCATTGTAGCCTCCTCTTTTGTTTCCCCTTCCCATCCACCCCCTGCCCCCCTCCCAATCCTCCCCGCCCCCCCTCCCCCCTGCACCAAAGTTGTAAAGTTCGTTTTCTACATACGACTTGTACATCTCATTGTTGCAGTGGGTCCACCTGTATCCCTATTTAAACGACTTGTTTTTCCCCTTCCCCTCCTCAAATTATACCGGCATCAAATACAGTGAAAGCAGGGGTTATACTGTGGGGGAGGGACATACATAGCAACAAAGAAATCATCTTATAAATGTGTTAGAAACAATCGCATGAAAGAAAAAAAACATTTGAATACATATCTTAGGGTTCATTTCCCTAACATCACTGACATTTTCTGCTTGACTCAGACATATACTAGATATTGCAAATAAGGGAAACCATGGGACCTATGTTTCTTTGGGCCTGGCTTACTTCACTTAATATAATTTTTTTTCCAAGCCTTTCCATTTCCTAACAAATGGGGCAATGTCATTCTTTCTGATGGAGGCATAGAATTCCATTGTGTATATATACCACATTTTCTTGATCCATTTATCTACTGAGGGGCATCTGGGTTGGTTCCATATCTTAGCTATAGTAAATAATGCTGCAATACACATAGTTGTGCTGGTAGCTTTAGTGTGGTCTTGTTTGTGATCATTTGGGTAAATGCCCAAAAGTGGGATTGCTGGGTCATAGGGGAGCTCTATGTGGAGTCTTTTGAGGAACCTCCATACTGCTTTCCAAAGTGGTTGAACAAGTTTACACTCCCACCAACAATGCAGTAAGGTTCCCTTCTGTCCACATCCCCTCGAGCGTCTGTTGTTATTAGAGTTCTTGATTTTAGCCATTCTAACTGGGGTGAGGTGGTATCTCAAGATATTTGTATAAATTTAGTATTTTTACTATTTCTGAATGCTTGTCTGTCACTATTATTTGACTTCCCACTTCCTTTTTATTTTAAGAGCACATAAAAACATCTGTACAAGCATACACAATGAGATGCATCTTTGCTCATGATACACCTGCTTATGGTGATCTCTCTGTTCGTCTTAAGCAAGTGAAGATCTAAACAAAGCTCTTAATCATGGCTCACCATTGCTGCCTGCAGCGTGATGGCTGTGGCTTTATCTGCTCAGCTCAGTCCTCAAAATGGCCAAAAGCCTGTCTAACTCTCTCTCTCTCTTCAGCTCCCAAGATGGTCCCAGGAATGAAAGGAGATGACTTTTGTGAAAGTGCCCAACAAAGCATCTAGTACAGAGTCATCACTCAGAAATGTGACATTCCGGCCAATTACTTCAGCTGACCTTAACAGATTGTAGCAAGGTCAGGAGAGAAGTACCTAGAAGGAATTGTGGCACCAAGTGTATAGATTATAAAAAACAAAACAAAAGCCCATTTTCAACTTGTATCTTTCTCATGAGTCCCTAGATTTGCCCATCTTCTTCTTATCCTCCATTCTTGATGACTTAGAACTTGTGCCCACTGTCCCTGCTCTCTTCGTTTCCATTCCTCATATCCCGCTGATTCATGAGAAAGCTCGTCGCTGCCGCATGCAGGAAGGAGCACTAAGAAACGTTACATTCGATGCTTTCCTTCTCTCACACATCCTCCATATCACAGGGGCCACTTGGGAGGCAGTTCCTGTGTAGCATTACCCTTCATCAGCAGGGCTGGAAGCATGTCAAATCCAGCAGTCAGTCCCTTGCAGATGAGGGAATACATGCCAGATGGTTGGTCCTGATGCAGCTGAGTCTACTGATTTCACTTCTGGCAAGTTTTCTACTTGGTACTATGCTTCCTTGCACCTCTACTATGGTGGGGGCAGGGGAAATGCTGTCTGACCCTTGTCAGCATAAACACAAGCTGAGCTTGCCTTTCTCTTCTCCTTGGGTGCAGGATGGTACAGCCTGAGAAGGCAGGACTAGGTTCAGAGCTGGGCTTCCCAAGGTTGTGTAGCCACCTAAGGAAGGAGAAGCTTTCTGCTGCCATCTGCTCCTACCCTCTGGACCCCAGGAGATCCAGGCATAGATGGGGCCCTTGCCGCATACAGGCCGTCCAGTGCAATCACATCAGTGTTTGGCTGCGTTACCCGTACTGAGGCCCTATTTAGTGACTTCATGGATGTGCTTTAGGATAACAGGATCCATCTTCACTGTGGAAATACCAATCCAAAGGCAGCTGTCTGTGATCACTACAATGCTTCTTGGAGAGCTCTGTGAAGATGGTTGCATGCTCAGCACTTAGATGTAGAGACTCTTGATTCTCTTCTCGATGCTCAACTTAAGTCTTTTTTTGTTGCATCTTGACTCAACCAAGAAAAAGCCTCTTGTGCAGGCCATTTTGCTTCTCCATCCTATTGGAAAATGTGTTGCCTAACAGATCCTCCCTCCCCAGGTCTGGTATTTAGGAGAAGACAAGAAGCCAATTGCTACATGAAATGCGGCCCTCCCCTGCCTCCTTATCACTGTGCTTGCCACAATGTTGTTCTTGGTAAAAGACCTCATATCTCTACCAAGGTAGAAGTGAGTGATATTTCAGCATTCCCCACCGCAGTAGGAATGTAAGAAAGCACAGAAGCAAATAGAACATTATCTGGAGGTTAAGCCACTTGAATTCAGCTTCTGCAGGACTGTTTATCATAGTGTTTCCTCATCTCAATGCAGAACAATAGCCTGACTCCCAAGAGTTGACAGCAGCCCAGTGCTGGTGGCTCACACCTGTAATCTTAGCTACTCAGGAGGAGCTACTCAGATCTCACTGAGGATCACGGTTCAAAGCCAGCCGGGGCAGGAAAGTCCGTGAGACTCTTATCTCCCATAAACCACTCAGAAAAACAGAAGTGGCGATATGGCTCAAGGAGTAGAGTGCTGGCCTTGAGCTGAAGAGCTGAGGGACAGTGCCCAGGCCCAGAGTTCAAGCCTTATGACTGACAAAAACAAAAAACTGAAGGCTACTCAGGCTTGTCCTGAGGAATTGGGGCTGAGGGGGGTATAGTATCTACTGGAGAACCTGAACTTGAATTTATTCTCTCATTGGAGAACACCTTCTCTAAGATGGGTTCCTATAGTGTCGACCTTCTGTACAGGTCCAGAGTTGAGCTGCTGGAACAAGCTAGTCTGGGTTAGGGGAGATAGAATTTAGAGGAGAAGAAACTCCAAGTTTCTTTTTTTTTTTTGGTCGGTCGTGGGGCTTGAACTCTGGGCCTGGGCGCTGTCCCTCAGCTCTTCAGCTCAAGGCGAGCGCTCTACCACTTGAGCTACAGCACCACTTCT